CCATGAATTGGTTAAAGTTTTTGTTTTATGTAGGAACTTGTTTATTTGTATTTTATTTGTACGAAAACATATTTATGTACATACGCTTTTCATGTATGTAAATCCAAATTACCAAAGTTTTTGTTTTGTATAGTAATATCAGTAGAAGATTGACCTATCACAGAAATGGTTTGTATTGATCGTATATCGTAAATTTTTGCATCGCACCGGTAGTATCGCATCTGTTTGAGGCCCCCTTAACTTTCAATACGTAGGCCGATGATTTGTGTTCAAAAAATTTAGTTCGGATGATTACTTTAACGTGGCTTCAAAAACAAAAATCATAGAGAAAATATCCAGAAGGTTTAAGAGTTGTAAATTAAATTTAAATGATTGCATTATGAATTTCATTATGGAAATGGTAACCGACAGTGGACAGTGAAACATACATATATCCATATCCATATATGCATAATTTGTGTGCAAATTCTATTAATATTAACTCATAAATGGGTTTGGTTTCACTGTTTTGCAGATGTTATTAAGGTCTGCCAAGCATAAGGTATTAAATAAATATATATCGAAATAAAATAGTGGAGTACATCTCCTACATAAATTCTAAGCATATTTAATCAACTAAAAAAACTAGAAATTTCTACAAAGGGATGCCAACCTTCCTTCGTAACACAGGACTTCAAACCAGCGTTCGAATAACCGGTGCGGTTCGGTCAAATTTATTAGTTCGATTAATACCTAATAAAACGAAAAAGTATGCAAGACGCACAGATTAAAAAAGCGGGTTTCTAATGTGAACTTACGGAGAAGAAATAAGAACCATTTTAGTGATTTTTCTTTACAAACCGAACCGAACCGAACCGGTGTTGTTTTCGGCTAGGTACAAATACCAAAACTAGAAGTTTCAGTTTAAAACTAAGCTCCGGTTAAAATTGATTTTCAGCCCTGTTTAATTGAGGCCATGAGAGCAGAAGTGGCCTAACCCAAATTTGTTTGTTTGTACTTACCTACTTAAAATAATATCAAATGTGATAAATTTTAAAATAAAAGTCGCTTACTCTTTAATTTTCAGATACAGAGTTGCTTAGCTTACCATCAAATTAAGGAGTAAACCACCTTTATTTTAAAATGTATCACGTTTGAGAGTATTTTAAGAAGTTAAGTCCAAAAAAATAATTGGTCACTTCTGCTCTGATGGCCCTAATTATACTATTCGATTAACACATTGAGTGCCGTGCTATATAAAAAATAATATTTCCGACTAACAGAATGGTATTTACTAAATTTTCGTAAGACATTTTTAAAAATAAGTTACACAGCACCTAGTACGAAATATACACAATTTAAGCAAACAAATAAAGATAGTTAGATGAATAAATTGGTTACGGCACTTGACGTGTTATAATCGAATTGGAAAGCTTGAAATTATAAATACACCCAGCAAAATAATTATGTATATGCGTTGTGTTTGATTTTCACTTATTAATAAATATTAGTCGATATACGGTGCTAACACTGTGTGTTCCGCCTTAGTATTTCGAATGAGTCAAGTAATTTCGGGCCGAATTCACAGTACGTAGTTAAATCACTGTTACCTTAACCACTAACCAGAGTTTAACTGCATCCGTATTCACAGTCAACATATCGGTTGAAATTATAAAACTTCGAAAAATTAATATTTTTCTATACAAATTTGAACTTTGTTTAACTATGTTTATGTACATTTGAAAATGACCATAGTAATTATACGTAATAGTGCTGGCAACACCAAATCCTGCTTATAAGTAGTTTTTTTTTTAGTCAGAAAAGCTGACTGTATCTAAAACAAAAGAGAGTTACGAGAAACCCCAACACGCTGTGCATACATACATTGGTATATATTTCGCTAGTTGTATCTTTCAAAAGATTGGAATCCCTGAAGATCTGAGACTCTTTTACAGAACCAATAGAAGCACTGTCTCAAAAACATCTATGGGCATTTATTGAGAACTGATTAAACTAATTGATTGATTAAACCCAATATAAAAAAAGGAATAATTACTAAATTTTCACATCTCTCTAGCTTAGTGTTTTAAATTGCCAGCAAAATCGCGTTTAGTCATAAAGACTATTCTATAGGCATGCTAAAAATGCGAGCGCAAAAAAACGACTGAATTCAAAGTAGTGCAATTCCCACGATACTAGTAGCAGTTCGCCACTTCGCGTGACAGCTGTTTATCAGCCCTAACTGCACGAGTTCCGTGGCGAGCTTTCAGATAAAAATGAGAGTCTCAGATCTATTCATCTAAGCCCTGAAGTACGAATGAAAGCAGCAGCTACGTTTATGACACGCCATTCTCAACACCACCTTTTTTCGCTAAGCTGTCAGCTTTCATTTCCATCGATATCATTTTTTAGTGGCGCAATCAAATCTGGACTAACTAACGATCCCACGGCTGTTGAAGTCGTTGAAGCAACAGTAGAATTTCCGCCACTATTAGCAGCTAACATAAGGGAAATCCTGGTGGATCCTTCTGAATTTCGCTGTTGCTTTTGGTTACGTTTAACCGTGCGAACGGTGTTACCCTTCGCGGTTGACATTACGCTGAGCTGCCTCTTTAACTGACTTTGCGCACCTTCAGGGCAACTGTCATAGCATTTAAATGAAGGTGTCGAAGGGCCTACTGATGATTTGGCATTTCCTTGGGTGGTTTTGTTGGCATCCGAGATTTCAGTAATAACTGTTTTCTTGCAATTGGCACAACAGGGACAATCACAGGTAACAGTGGTGCAAACAGATAGCTCTGATTCTAGTGTTGGTAGTATTTGTGCGGAAGGCATGGTTTCAGTAGACTCAGAGATCTTGTGAGTATTATTTTGAAAAAATGTATTATATCGCAATTTGGTTACGTTTCCCAAAGAATTTTGAGGACTTATATCTTGTAAACTAACATGAAAGTCCTTGCCCCTACTGCCATGCATACTCCATTCCTTTAGTTGGTGCAAAATGTCCGTCTGTTCCTGATCAGTGAGGTTCTTTCTTTGGTGTGGTGATGTCACATCTTTCGACGGGTATAAATATGATGTCGATTTCGAGAAAGCGTTACATATGCCGGATGGAGACTCCTTGTGGCACCCAATGGCATCGAAAGTTTTGTGTCGCTCAAAAAAATCGGCCATTTCACGAACCTTCCCTTCCCCGAACGGTTTAGTAAAATGATGTACCTGGCTAACGTCAGTTGGCTTCGAAGTTTTATATCCTTGTGAGAGGGTAAGTGTGGTTGTATGCGAATGACAAGCTGAGGATGGGGGTGTGACGACATCGCCCTGGTCAGCACAGTGTGGGAAATATATATTTGCATGGCTAAGCGAACGGCGCTCTGGGCAATAGTTATGGACAGTTTCAGAGGAACTTTCGATTTCACATACACTAGGAACTTTAATTGTAACAACTGTGTTGGTTGTTGCTTTTGCTTTTGTTGGTGGATTACCTCCTGATCTGGCATAGGAAGGTAAAACAGAAGTGCGGGAAGCAGTAACAGGCTTAGGAAGAGAGGTGCTCGTGATATTTACCATATTACAGGGGTTTTGTAGATTAGCGGATCTTTTTAGATTGGCGCGCTGTTGGTTACCGCTGAGCCCGCCGCCAGAGGTGGCACGGATTGCGTTTAGCTCCCGCTTTGGCCGTGCTACCGTCGTTCTTGCCATTGGCAATTCAGTATTTACATTTGTATTGCGCATTTCTTTTGTTGTTAACGGAGTTTTTTCTAAGGACTCATTTGAAGAACGATTGCTATTCGATCCACTGCCAGAGTTGCTGCCGGTTGCTATGTATCCAGATGTCGAACGATTAGAGTTCAGTTCACGTCTAATCTTTTGTATAAAGGGAATACGTTCACGTTCAGTTTTATCCAATGACTCAGAGGATGAACGATTGCTGTCGAGACCAGCTTTAGCATATATACTTATCGCGTCGTGTGTGTGGAACTTTCGATTTATTCCCGTCCCCCGGTCTAGCGAAATACTATCCCGCCTGCGTGCCTTTGTTTCTTCTAAATCAAAACTAACGGTTTTACGATAACCAGAGACATTACGACGTACACCACTTATAATACCAGTCGATGGTTTCGCAACATGTTTTACAGGCTTCTGTTCCACCGGAAAGTAGGTTCGAACATCATCTGTCGGGGAACCATCATCTATAAATGGAATATCATCTGAGTCGGCAACTGAAGCTATGCCGTCTTCATTCAGGGGCTGATGTGCCTCATTATAAGACAAGTTGGTGAATAATTCATTAGTGGAGCGCTTCTGTGGATCATTTGGGTCAGGCTCAGGGTCGGTATACTCCTCAATGTATATTGAAGGAGGTGGTGTGCTGGTATTCAAAGTACTATTAGTACGCTGCCGTACTGGGCTATTATGAATGTTATTATGATGAACGTTGTTGAGGTTATTCTCGCTAGATAGATAGAGGCTGCTCACTGAACGTGCAATGGGACGCGTGTCCCGGTATCGGGGATCAATGTGGAGCTGATGACCTCTGGCGCAAAGCTCTTCTTGCAACGATGATGCGCTCAAACGACGCACGGGCGGAGATGACGAGCGCAAACAAATTAAAGATTCACGTCGGCTGCGATTCAAACTGTCATCAGAAACCGAAGCAAAGTAACGATTGGTGTACATCGAGTGACGCCGTTGATCGTGGTATGCCGTCGCTCCTAGCTCCGATTCTACATTGAGTTTAGTAAGCCACAATTCAGAAATATTGTGAAATAAAATTGTTGAATTGTTGGAAGTTTATTTTGGTTATTGGCAGCATGTAAGGGAGGAGTTTAGTAAAAAAGCTATTAGCATTCATTGTCATAGATTAACGCTATTACATCAAGGCCCTTTATTACATCTAGCTTGCGCTTACTGCTAAATTTATAGCGAAAACTACCCTAATTTCCGAATATTTAGTCACTTAACTGATCTTTAATGCTACGAATCTGTACATCATCAGTAGATTTATAATTATGACTTACCTCGCGCTATTACTGGGCTAGGCTGCTGTAGCAGAGTTGCTAAGCCATGATAAATAGCCCCTTGTTTTGCTACCTCCAAAGTGACTATCGGTCCCGTGCGTACGAGATAGTCTGCCGCTCTGAAAAATGTTAAGAGTTAACATATTTGGTTAAGTTACCAATATCGGTCCTTACTTTTCCTGAGTAATGCCAATGAGGCTCTGACCATCAACCCGCAAGAGCTGATCGCCTGCTTGCAGACGGCCGTCGGCATCAGCGGCTCCGCCAAGCACAACACTCTTTATATATATGCCTAAGCGCTCCTGGCCTGCTCCTTTTGCCGCGACAATGGACAGACCCATACCATTTGCATTTTTATGCAACTTTATCACCTGGACCTCCGGTTGCGGTAGCTTGTTGGACATAGCGCTGGAAGACCGGGCCTGAAAGTAATAACTTAAATGTTATAATTATGTTTGGTTATTATTATTAATACCAACATTGAACTGGTGCATATAAACAGTCCATAAACCAATAGAAGTAGGTTGCGCAGCCAGGCGGCACATGCCTTGTTGTTGTAGTGGATTCAAAAAGTCAACTAAGCCGGATGGTATACCGCGCACAACATCACAGCTAAAACCGTCGTCGGGTAGCAGCAAAGCTAAATGCAATTCTGGTGATTCCTCTAGACGAACCTCCCGACCATCGGATCGCGTGAGTTCATCCGCTACCGACTCAGCCATTCTTATTGCAGTGTCCACAAGATTTCGAGGTATCTTCTCTTGTTGCAGTAATGCGGCCATTTGTAATGAGTTCAAGCGGAAGCAAGAGCAAGCCAATTGTTGTATCTCCTCGACAGACGACTTGGGCGCTTGGAGAAACTGAGCGCATTGGTTTATTTTCGCCAAATGGCAATCAGCAGCAAGTTCCAGTCCTTGGCGCTCAGCCCATAGTTCCAGAAGTTGAAGCCGTTCCAACATAACTTTGCCCCATTCTGCAGTACACATGTGCGAGTTAGCCACAATCTACAAATCAAATGAGTCGTGGAAGTTTATTACCGTTCACTTTGTTAGGTCGTAAGTGAGTATAATTGAACTTTATTAAAGGGTAAATCAAAATGGGATCAATAAACTTTCATTGCTCACCGTATTAAAGCAAATCACATTGATGTAATGGAAAAGCTGGCTAAATAGTTGGATTGTTAGAGCTGCATTCACGCGGCAACGACGCAATAGTGCCATTGCGGAACCAAGTACTGTCAGCACCAATCCCGCGGCCGAGTCATGGTCAATGGTTTCCGAAAGGAACTGATTCAAGGTTTGTGACAATTCCAAGCGGAAACAATTCACCAGGTTACGAAATGCTGTTTGGACACTTTCCGCCAACACTTCTTGAGCTTGCACACTAAATGCACTAATATGACGATCTGACTTTAGAAAGTGAAGAAATTCCGAACTGTTAGCCATCCAAAAGGCTAAAATACGTGCATCAGAATATTGTTCTTGTACAACAGTGTAAATCAAATTTGCGACATGGTGTAGGAATATTGTTAATTTATGGGCTCGTTCAGTCGGCTGCAGTTCCGGACGGTAATGAGTCGAAGCACGATACCTGTGGAAATCCGTCACATAGTTTTAACATTATAATATATATTAGTGGATAATCGATTTCAGAAAGTATTTATTTTTGGCAGGTCTTCAATGATTTATTTTACTTGTGCTTATTAATTCGGGGTTTCAAATAACATCTGAAAAGTATAGAATTGAAATTGTCCCTTTTGGTGGGAATAAAATCCGTTGAGGACCAATCAAATATCGATTCAACACGATACATTGGTTTATGAGATGTGAGATAGGGCCATTATCGCTACTCGCTCTTTTAAAACGAAATCACAATAAGGCGTACGCATTGCATTGTAGATTGATAATGCAGGGGTTCCCAAACTTTTTTCACCGCGGCACCCTTGTCGTGATAAAAAAAATTCGCGGCACCCCTACTCTTCAAATGTCTACGAAAACAAGAAAACACAATGCAAACTTTATGCTCCTTTAGTTTAAATGTGAGGACTGAAATTGTTTTGATGACTTCATTATTTCCTTTAAGTTTATTGGGGATTTTGACAATTTTACCCTGAAATCATTTGACGCTGAATGCTTGCTGGTGTATTTGTTCTTAACCTACTTCACAAAAAGGAGAAGACTATCAATTCGTCGGAATATTATTTTTTTTTATTTTTTTATGTATGTTACCGCATAACTTTGGACCACGTTAACCGATTACTATAATTTTATTTTTTAGGGAAAGGTATGGTCCCATTCTAATTTGGTTTAAATCCGATCAATGGATCATGAAGAAATTAACGATAATCTTGAATTTTTATATGAGAATTGAAGTCGGTTTTGTTTTTTGCTTAAAACATACTTGTTTATGTAAGCATTTGTTGAAAATGCAGTCTCACATAGAAATGTAAAAGTAAAAGTCACTAGTATTTTTACTGCAATCTTGCCAAAATCACTGTTTTCTGCATACACTTGCATCCAGAGCTCTCTTGGCTCCCTTCGTAGTATTTAGTATTCAAAGTGCTGCCTTCACTGATGTCCACAAGGTTATATAAAGCTTAATTTGTCATCTCAGTAGGTTTACATTTCGGGTCACATGGGTTTGTTATCCAGCTGTAGACACCCTCAGAGTCAATGTTGGGAAAATATTCGACAATGGTTATTTCTAAACCTTCCAAGTTAACGCTGGTAATGCGCGTTAACGCTAAGCAAATCATTTTTACAGTAAATTTCACGAAAGTAAAAAAAGTGAAAAATGATTTTAATTTTTGAATTTAATATGGAAATTGGCAGAAAATAAAAAATGATTTTCCATTTAACTTGCTAGTAGCCGGTTACGCCGGTGTTATCAATTTTCTTAGCTTTACTTCGAAGTTGCATACGTTTTTTATGCAAACTGCTAGATATTCTAATAGACATGTTACCAATACAAAAAAAAATGAAACAAGTAAGAAAGTTTAAGTTCGGGCGGGGCCAAACATTAAATACCCGGCGCAAGTATTAAATATATGTTTTTTCACCTTTCCGAAAGCTACCGCTACATGGTAAGCCAGGGTGTATCAATTTTGAGTAAATTAGCGTCCTTAAATTTCGAAATATTGAAATTTCAAGCATTTCTGAAATTACCGTTATATGAAAAGCGGCCGTAATTTTAGTCTGATTTCAATAATTTTCAACGCTTTGCTTTTATGTGGCAAGCACAATAACCATACCGAGTTTGGTACAAATTGGTAGAAAGGTTACCGAGATACATATATGTGATCATAAGTGGGCGGTGCCACGCCGGATTTCCAAAATTTTATCATAAACGTATTTCTTGGTAAAGAATTGTTGCAAGTATCAAATTGGAATAAATTAGTTTTAATATTTACTGATTTATCGAAGATTTTGTATTTCTCTAAATTACCGTTATATGCAATGTGGGCGTGGTTATTGTCCGATTTTAAAAATTTTCGGCCGTTTGCTACTTTGTACCAAGGCCAATAACTGTGCCGAGTTTGAAAGAAATTGGTGCAGCGATTACCATGATATACACATGTAACCATACACGGTGGGCAGGAAGCGAAGATAGGTTGCATAAAAATGTCGACAAAATCTGAAAGCAGGGTTGTATTTGTTGATATCTTAAGGTTAAGAATCCGCTTAAATTGAAATCCTAGCTGCTCCTGTTTTAAAGATATCCACATTTTATATACTTCTGATAGGATATATTTGCAAAAGAGGAAGGCGTACTTCTCGATAATTAGAGCATATTTATACGAAAAGAAATCTCATACAAATCTGTTCCCCTTTTTTAACTCACTAAAACGGATCAAATCAATGTGAAACATTTCCATTTTTTCCTACCGAAAGAATAATTGATCGAGATTTATTGGGCGCTACCGGTATACAACTTAGATAAAACACCACAATTACCTTTTTCTGTAGCGTGAACTTTCCCATTACAAACACTTTCAATATCGCAATATATGTATGTATGTATACAATATTGTATGCTATATAATACGGTAGTAATTTTTTATTAAAGGTTTGTTGCTATAAGCAAGTAGCGCAGGCAAGTCGCACTGCGCTTGTGCAAGAAATAAAAATGCTCTAACTTAGGCCAACGGTACTCCTCATAATAAGTAAATAAATTCAAAGCTTGTATGAGATTTATTTTGGTATTTATGTACTCTTCTTTCAGGAAATAATGACTATTGTACATCCAGAACACAAATGCGATCATAAAGAAAATCGCATAAAAGTATGCGCTTTGTGTGTAGGGCTGCCAGACGTCCCGGTTTTCCCGGACATGTCCCGGTTTTAGACTATTTGTCCCGATGTCCCGGTCCAACCTTAAAATGTCCCGGGTTTCATTTAAGTGTCCCGGCTTTCGATTTGATTGCACAAATTTTGCTTAAAAATGACTACGCTGAGAGAAAAAACGCGTTGTAATATTAAAAAAAATTGTATGAATTTACTGGGGAAAATAACGCATAGTAAACATGAATATTTTTTATTTGATTATCGTTTTGAAATGTTCGTACTTAAAAACAATACTTTCATACCATGCACACGTGGTGTTGAATCAAACTGAACATTTGAATGCACATTTACATGTCTGGCTGTAGCTGAGTGCACGAAGATGCTTGCCACAATTTGCTAATTTCCAGAGCGTCAGGGTTCAAATCCCATTACAGACAGCATGGAATTTAAATAAATTTTTTTTTTAACTTAATTATGAAAAAGCATCCGTTAAGTGCAAAGCGCTTCATTTTAATATTGACGTATTTCAATTGATATACTAAATACTAAAATTTGTATACTTAAATTATTACGAGTTGGGTTGGTGCTCTTTCATATGCGATTTTTTTTTTAAATGTAGCACGTTTTGCATAAGCAATAGTTGATGATTAATATAAGTATGTACCTAAATACGTTAAAATGACATGCACAGAGTTTTACAATTATAGCAAAAGCCAGAAGTTTTGAAACAAGCTCACAGCAACGAAACAAATGACTGATATTTTAATGTTACCCTGTATTTATTTTTTTTTTTCGTGAAACCTAGATTACTTATAAGTACCGTGCCGTGCAAGTCTGAAGTTACCAGAAAATTTCGTTGATTTTTTTCAATTATTTATTTTTTGCTGACAGTGTCTTCCACATACAAAAAAATGTCGAACATAGTTTGTATGGAAGAAACTCTCAGTAAAAACAATACCAAATATATTGCCTCGTTCAAAGACATGAGCAAAATCGTGAATACATGGTTTTCCGCATAACAAGCGGATCTTAGTAATTTTGACAAAAATCTTAACGAACTCCGCACAGCTTTGAAAAGTACTGGAATTTCTCAAACTGTCAAAACCCATTTTATCCTTAAACATTTAAAGCAATCTATTTCATTCTTGAATAACGATGGTTTAGGATTATGGTCCGAGCAGGCCGGGAAGTCAGTTCATAGGGAATTCATTAAATTCTGGGATAGATTCAAAATAAATATGATTGATAAACCAACTTTTGTGAGTCGCCTGAAGAAAACTGTAATGACATTTTCATTCCAGCATATATAAAAACTTAACTAAATAATAAAATATTTGAATACTAAAATGTGTGACTATATTATATGGTAAACCAACAAAAAAAATAAAAGGAAACAAAAAACATATATAAAAAAATAAAGCAAGAAAAAATATAAAAAAATAAAACCAAAAAAAGAACAAAGAGGTGCAAAGTAAGTTGCCTCTACGTGGTGCGCCTTGGAAACGATTGAAACCGGCTAAAAACTTACATAAACTTATATTTTCACATAATATATATACACACATTTACTCACACATACATTGTTGAATATTTAATGCACAAGGATGTTTTTCTCTTTCGCAAAAGTCGGTCCTATCATAACTATGTAAAATGTGGATATCTTTAAAACAGGAGCAGCTAGGATTTCAATTCAAAGGGATTCTTAACCTAAAAATATTAACAAATACAACCCTGCTTTCAGTTTTTGTCGACATTTTTATGCAACCTATCTTTGCTTCCTGCCCACCGTGCATAAGTGGCTACGCCCATTCCATTTTCCAAAAATTTATAACATTCTTATTTTTTGTCTGAAAATGATTGTAAATATCAATTTTGAGTGAATTATCGTCAGTAGTTACTAAAATATCGCAGTTTTCGTATTTCTGGAAATTACCGTTACATGGGAGGTGGACGTGGTTACAGTCCGATTTCGCCCATTTTCAATACCAACCTACCTTGGATAAATGGAAACCTACATACCAAATTTCGTTGAGATATCCCACAAGCACAAGTGCGCTCGGGTATAAAAACCAGAGATGTATTTTAATTTCGCAGGCCTCTGTTGGCTTCACAGTGTCATCCAATACGGGTTTTAATTCTAGTGGCGGCATCTGCCTAGTCGCCAGGGAATACCGACGGATCATACAGTGACTTCTCCTTTCGTTTTTTCAACCACTGAAAATATTCGCACACTTGCTCCATTTCAAACCATTTTTCTGTACAAATTTGTCGTTAGCTTTAAAAATTTCGTCGCTAGTGGAGTAAGTC